AACCAAATCAATTCAAAGACTTTATGAGCAGCATATTGTTGAAATGATTTATGATGCAATGGAAATGTTTAGTTGATTAAAATCTAAAACAAAGTCAACACACTGAAAACTAGAACGTAAAGTGATTTTGTTTTATTACATGTGTGCTTATTTGTTATGTATCAGTTTAGTTTGGTTTCTGTAGTCGTGCTGTTGTTTAGAATCTGTTCATAGGTTTCTTCCTTTATTTTTGGTGAATGTAGAATTACTATTTCTGCTACAAACTGTGTGATAAGAGAGAGATGAAAGGANGGTCCTAGGAAAGGCTGTGCTCTCTCCAAACAGCGACTGTCCCACTGGATTGTGGATGTCATTCGCCACTCATATGGGGCAAGTAACCGTTCTCTGCCATCAGGCGTAACATGCCACTCCACCAGGAGTGTCTCTACGTCATGGGCTGCCCTGAGAGGAGTGCCCTTAGAAGATATCTGTGCTGCAGCTTCATGGGCCTCATCAGGAACATTCTCCCGGTTTTACAGGGTGAATGTTGCTACCCCCCATCCACTGGGTGTGGTGCTGTTGCCGAAGTCCTCTGATTCTACTCGTTAAGGTTTGTAATCAGGATTCCTCGTGACTTTGCTGGTATAAGTCATTCAGTGCTTAAAGCACCGCCTCTGGCGGTCAGCAGGGATGAAATAGAACAAAAGTTACGAATGTAACTACGGTTCTATGAATCCCGAATTACCGCCAGAGCACTCTGTCACTCAGAATCCCCGTGTTCTTGCGAGAAGATTCTGTAGGAACAGATACTCTGATGGCACCGGAAGATATAGTCTCCCCCGGGTCATCCAGGTGTCACAGGTGACATTGTTGATATTCATACTCGAACTGCACATGCGCGAAGGGGAATATTCAGTGCTTAAAGCACCGCCTCTGGCGGTCATTCGGGATTCATAGAACCGTAGTTACATTCGTAACTTTCGTTTTTTGGATATAGATGCTGGTCTGATTTCAGTAGACCAAGAAAAGGTATTTGACCGTGTTGAACACAACCTCCTTTGGAGGGTCATGGAAAGTTTTGGGTTCAGTGCTGGTTTCATAGCCAAGATTAAGGTGTTGCACAGGGACATTGAGAGTGTGTTGAAGTTCAACGGCAGTCTGTGTGCTCCTTTTAGAGTGTATAGAGGCCTCAGGCAGGGCTGTGCTCTGTCTGGGATGCTCTATACACTCTCTCTGGAAACTCTCCTCAATAAGATATGTTCTAATCTACAGGGTCTGTTTTTACCAGGTTTTAGTGAAAGCATGATTTTATCCACTTATGCGGATGATCTCATTGTTTTATCAGGAGCCAGGAATAAGTAGACATTTTAAGTAGCATAATTAGGGATTTTAATGTGACATCTACAGCGAGGGTCAACTTGAAAAAAGTGAAGCCCTCACTGTCAGCAAGTGGCATGGCGGCCTTCCAGTTCTTCNTGCTCCAGTTACTGTGGTTGGAAATAGTCACATTTCTTCCAGCAGCGAAAGTTCGTAGCACCAGTGCTACCATTGAAAAAGTTAGTCTGGAGCCCCGATATATGATTTGTGTGAAAGCAAAAAGAGAAGATTTCACAATTAGTTATTTTTTTACATCTAGACCACATTATACCAGGTACATACATGTAGTTGTGAACAAAAGTTTTTATACATTTGTAAAGAACATGTATGTCATGACAGTTTTGAGTTCCCTATGACTCCTGTAACTCTTAATTTTCTATAATAAGTTTCTTTGTCCACGTGATCAGCAACAAACTTGAGCTGAGCTTTAAGGAGCCATTCTGGAGGGAGGGCTTCTTTCCAACATGGCAGCCTCTCAGCCCATGCTGATGTAAAATACACTTGACTGTAGACACTGACACATGTGTTCCAGGAGCTTGTAATTCATTGAAGACCTGCGTTTTGATCTCAGCAGCAGGTGATTTTTTTTTCCTGATGGTGGCAGTGACACAACTGTGCCATGTGCTTCATACTTACAAAACAATGTTTGCACAGAGGACTTTGGGATCTATAGCTGCTTTGAAATGGCACCAAGTGAAGAAATAGAAATAGGAAAATAAAAAAATAAAGTAAAATAGCTATAGAAAGAAAAGAATAAAAATAAAATACAATAAATAATAATAAAAAATAAAACAAGATAATAGGACAAATATTTACAATAATTTACACATCTGAGCAGAAAATGTATGTGTAGTACACATACATTTTCTCCCATGATTGTGGTTGCATGTACTGAACTAGATGAAGAGATACATGATATTTATACTGTTTGTATCGTACTTTGCAAACATTTCAAATGAAATATTCTACTATTGAAAAAAAGCTGGACTTCTGACTGGGCTTCAAGGTGGCGTGGCATTGAGCACTGTCGCCTCGCAGCTAGAAGATCGCCTGGGATCTTCCTGTGTGGAGTTTGCCTTTTCTCTCTCTGCAGCGTGGGTTCTCTCTGGGTTCTCTGGCTTCTTCCCACAGTCCAAAAACATGCTGAGGTGTGAATGTGAGTGTGCTTGGTTGTCTGCGATAGACTGATGACCTGTACAGGGTGTCCCCTGCTGTTGCATGCTCCCTCCCTCCTGTTTCCTTCACTCAGGTGCTGCTCATTCAGTGCTGATGACTATAAAGAGTGGAGGAGTGGTATCAGATGCGGTGGCTGTCGCTCTCTGGCTGGTTGTGATGATCTCTGTGCTCACTCTGCTCTCTGGCTCTTGTTTGCATGGCCGGCGCACGCCCCTCAGGTCTGACTGTCTGTTGGGCATCCACTGCCACATCAGCGTCTGCACGTCTTAAGTGTTTGCTCTTCTTGGAGTGGAGGACAGAGGTCTGGGTACTGTTTGCGGGTTTTTCTTTTTAGTTGTAGGACAGAGCGTTGACCCTGCCTCAGTTTAGAGGGAAGGCTGCAGGTTCGACGGCCCACTGCGAGGTTGGCCTGGCTTTTCCCCTGTTTTTGTGTTTATTTCTACCAGCGTCCGGATTCTTGTTTTGTGTTGAATATTTGTAAATAAACCTTGATTTACTTTACACTCTCTGGCGCAGCATCCGATATGTTTGTGGTCACTTTTTCCGAGCCAAAGTTTTAAAGTAGCCGTAACACCTGCCTTCGCCCTGAGTCAACTGGGATAGGCTCCAGTCCCCCCGCAACCCTAGTGGGGATTAAGCGTTGTATAGATAATTGATGAATTTCTGACTTTCAGAAGCTACAAGCCAAAATAATCAAAATCCCCCCCCCCAATTTTATTTTTTTTTTATTTCACGTCTTCTGAAGAGGAAGCAGAGACTGTGGACTCAGTGGCAGAGGCTGGGGGTGGATGAGATCCGTCCTGAATACCTCAAGACTCTGGATGTTGTGGGACTGTCCTGGTTGACACATTGCAACATTGCGTGGCAGTCGGGGACAGTGCCTCTGGGTTGGCAGACAGGGGTGGTGGTCCCTGTGTTTAACAAGGGGGACCGGAGGGTGTGTTCCAACTACAGAGGCATCACACTCCTCAGCCTCCCCGGTAAGGTCTATTCCAGGGTATTGGAGAGGAGGATACGACCAATAGTTGAACCTCGGATTCAGGAGGAGCAGTCTGGTTTTCGTTCCGGTCACAGCACACTGGACCAGCTCTACACCCTCCATCGGGTGCTCGTGGGCTCATGGGAGTTTGCCCAACCAGTCCACATGTGTTTTGTGGATCTGGAGAAGGC